CCCCCCTCCATCTGACCTTGGGCAACCTTCCTTTAGACTCAGTTTCCTTATCTGTGAAATGGGTGGGGCAGATTTTTGCTTCTGGGGTAAGCTAGGGACTCAGTGACAGGAGCTTGTCCCCAGGTTTGTGGGTTCCAGTACTGCCCCCTGCCTTAATTGGCTGGTGACCTTGGACATGTCCTTTTAGCCTCTCCAGCTTAGGCTTTCCTGTCTGGGCAGCTAGGATGCCGACACCCACCTCCTTGTGTCCTTGAGGGGATTGGGAGAGATGAGGCTGAATAAGCCTGTTGTAAGCTGTAAAGCCGGGCTCGGCCACAGAGCTGCCGATTAGTGGGTGTCATGAGGTCCCAAGTCACCAGTGCATGTGGTAAGAGCTGAGGAGCACCCTGGAGCATTTGTCCTTCAGGGGGACACCAAGGTGCAGCTAGAGATACTCAACCTTGCCCTGCCCACCTCCTCGTATCCCAAAGGGGCATGACCAGAGGTACTAGTGTCCATTTTACAGATGGGCCAACTGAGAGGCCTCGCTTTTGATTGGATTGTGGCATGATTGGACCTTCAAAAAAACCTTTCCTCAGTCATCTATGAGTTTTGACCCCTGGGGCTTTGGCCTCCAGATGGCCCGGGGAGTTGTGATTGGGCCAGTGCCTGGGAAAAATGAGGGACAAAGGTATTGCCGTCCTTGGAGTTGAAGGCTGAGCACGTGGGCCTCTTGGCACCTCAATTATGTTGCTAGTTATCCATTCTCTTGCCTTTTCTGGGAGCCCAGCACCCCAGGAGGTAGTTGGGGACTCTCTGACCATAGTTTCTAGCCCCAGGGAATTGTTCTTCTCTGTAAGTCTTCCAGAAGTCCCAGGATGAGAAGACACTTGGAAGCCATTGAGCACAGCCCTCAACACAGAGCAAAGAAAGCCCAAAGACCTTCCAGAACACAGTCTTAATAGGAGGGGGCTGGGTGAGGGTTGGGACTGACCTGGTGCCCCAGGGCCACCCCAGCTGACACAATCCGGTCCCTCACTTTTGCAGAAGGTCCTAAGGAAGAGTCAGATTCTTTGGGCTTGTGTCTCCCTTCCCCTCGTTTGCCATCCTGTCTTGGCTGAAGCAGTTGTGTAAATGTCGGTTCTAGAGAGGGGGTGTGTGTGAGTAGAAATATCTAAGGGGGTTGTCGTGTGAGAATGAGAGCTCTTTTTAACGTGATTCATCTAAGTAAACTTTGTGACTAAGGTCTGTTCTAAGAAGCCCTGGTGATACTGAGGGTTAGGCATTGGGCTGCTAATCCCAAGGTCGGCAGTTCAAACCCAGCAGTCACTCCGTAGGTGCCGGATGGGGCTGCCTGCTCCTGTAAAGATTGCCAGTCTTGGAAACCCTCTCAGTTGGAGCTTGGTGAGTTGGAATCCACTCGGTGGCAGTGGGTTTGCTTGTGGGCAGGCACTGGTTTTGGGTAGAGTGTTAGCTCTCCAGGGAGATAGGATCATGTCGCAGCTATGACGATGACGTTCATGGCTCTGAGTAGCTTCAGGAGTGCAGAGTATGGGCAGGAGGCCCTCAAGCTTCTTAGGGGAGGTCGTGTCGGAGTTGACATTTTCGGAGGCTGCAAAAACAGGATGAACTGGCATTTTGGGGAGGGGGTGTAGAGCAGGTGCCAAGGCAGAGGCATGAAGTAGCTAAGCATCTTTGTAGACTCAGTCCCTCAGAGTCACAGCAGGAGAGAGGTACAGGAGGAGGTCAGGGAGGGGGACTGGATTTGATAGGGGCCCCAAGGCTGGGGCCTTGCCTGCTGGGGTTGGGCTTGAGGGGTGTCAGGCTGGGTTGGGGGGACAGTGGCGGAGACGCCAGGCAAGGAAGAAGAGCGGTGGTAGGGAGTGAGGAGTGAGGCTGGTCTAGCAAACAGAGGGAGACTCTGCTGAGTGCGCACTGCGTGTTCTGTGTCAGCGAGTCTTGCCCTGAGCACATTCTGGGAGCGCAGGGTGAAGGCCTGGACAAGCTATTGAACAGGCACACAGGCCATTAACTCGCTGCCTTTGACCTTCCTGGGAACACACCGCCCGGCTTTGTTGTTGATAGGTGCCCATGGAGTCCGTGCCAACTCCTTGCGCCCCTGCGTGCAACAAAGTGCAAGGCAGCCTGGTCCCACACCGTCTTCACCATGGTGTTGGGAGTCCCTCCTTGCGCCGTGCCAAGGAGCTGTGTCACCGTCTCAGTCCATGGAGCTCCTTGGTGGTCTTCCTCTCTTTTCACCACATCTCTGTGTTGCCAAGCATGCTGCCCTTTTCTGGGACTGGTCCCACCTGATAATGCCTCCAAAGCATACGGAGGGACCATTTCTCCATCCACACCTCCAAAGAGCATTCCGACGACAGTTCTTCCAAGACAGATGTGCTCGGTCCTCTGGCAGTCTGTGGTCTAGGCAAGGTTCTCTGCCAACACCAGAATGCAAAGACATCTGTTTGCCACCTTCCTTATTCGTTCTTCAGCTTTTGGATAAGTAGGAGGTCCATGCATTTGTGGCCACAGACTGTACACCAGCTTGGGTCAGGTGCATCCTGGTTCTCACAGTGACAGCATCGTTTTTTTAACCCTTTAAAGAGATCTTTTGCAGCAGATCCAACCGAGCATCTTTAGGGGTAGTGAGTGTCTTCTCTGGACGGGACTGTTCCTTCTTCCACCTCACCTGGCCAGAGGCTTCTAAGGGAAGTTGCAGGGAGGGAGGGAGGGGCAGAGGGACAGGCAGAGAGAACTATCAATCAATGTGTTTCTTAAGCTTTATAGGGCTTGACCATCCGACTCTCCTAAAACCATCCTAGACCTTAAAGGGGGTGGCATTGGGGAGTAGGGGGCAGTGTTGAAGGCTGTAATAGATAAGATGTGGGGCTGACACCTCTTGCTTCTCACTAACTGCCATCAATTTGATTCTGATTTGTAGCCATCCTGGAGGGCAGCCCCTGTGGGTTTCCGAGCCCTCAGCTTTCTCCCCAGGAGCGGGCGGGGTGGGTGGGTGGGTGGGGCGCCACGGGGGAATGGTTCACCCTGCTGGCCTTGTAGTTAGCAGCATGACCCGTCATCCACTACACCATCACGGCTCAGTGGAATTACCTGGAATCCTTGCTGAGGAATTCAGATTCCCAGGCCTCACTTGTGATGTATTGAACCAGAATTCTCAGGGAGTAGAGCCTGGGGTATCGGTATTTTCCTCAAAGTCTCACGTGACTACAAAACTATTGAAAGCTCGAGCTATCATGTAGGGAAACTCCACCCAACATGCAGGGAAACACAAAGTCCTGGAAACACACAGCTCTTTGACACAGCACGACAAATGTGTC